AGGGTAGGGGGGAATAGAGATATTTTAGGGAGATAATTACGGTAGTAAAATGATATTGTTTTGTTTTCTTTTTTAATTGAAGAAAATTATTGTAAAATGAATTTTATTGAAAATCAATAAATATTTATAAAAAAAAAAAAAAAAAAGAAGAAGAAGCTTGACTGGAATTCCACTATGATCTCAATGAGATTTGAAAATAACAATCAAAACTGTTTTAATTCAGCCCCGTATGTTGTGTTTTCATGTTTACTTTAGTTTTCATTTTTTAGTTTTACATTTATAAATATTAAAACATAAGCAAAAAATTGTTCTCATTCTTTTATTGTCTGGATTTTATCTGAGATATAATCTGCATGTGTAGACATGGAGGGAACATAATAGAGGAATGGACCCCGAGACAGCGGGGAACAAAATGACACAAACACGAGCACAAGCAGGAAGTGATGTAAGGTAAAGAAAGGAAGTGGTATACGGCACACACAGGAAGTGATTTAAGGTAGACAGGCAGTGATATAGCAGTATACAAATTGAGATTCTGGTAAAAAAGGACTTGCATGGTAGAAAGGAGACAATGCTAGAATTTTCAGTAGTGGAGGTAATGAGATATTATTTTAAATTTACACCCAGTAACCTCCCACAATGTCCGTCCTCATCCTCCATCGTCTTATCCGTATTCTTCCTCCATAGTCACTGTGATGTCCATCCTCTTCATACATAGTCACTGTGACATCGTTTTTTGGTTTATAGACCGGATACGTCCTAAATATAGAGCCATTTATCCAAACGTCCATCCAGAGCCCCTGGTTTATAGACCGGATACGTCCTAAATATAGAACCATTTATCCAACCGTCCATCCAGAGCCTCTGGTTTATAGACCGGATACGTCCTAAATATAGAACCATTTATCCAACCGTCCATCCAGAGCCTCTGGTTTATAGACCGATACGTCCTAAATATAGAACCAATTATCCAACCGTCCATCCAGAGCCTCTGGTTTATAGACCGGATACGTCCTAAATATAGAACCATTTATCCAACCGTCCATCCAGAACCTCTGGTTTATAGAGCGGATACGTCCTAAATATAGAACCATTTATCCAACCGTCCATCCAGAGCCTCTGGTTTATAGACCGGATACGTCCTAAATATAGAACCAATTATCCAACCGTCCATCCAGAACCTCTGGTTTATAGACCGGATACGTCCTAAATATAGAACTATTTATCCAACCGTCCATCCAGAGCCTCTGGTTTATAGACCGGATACATCCTAAATATAGAACCATTTATCCAACCGTCCATCCATAGCCTCTGGTTTATAGCCCGGATACGTCCTAAATATAGAACCAATTATCTAACCCTTCATCCAGAACCTCTGGTTTATAGACCGGATATGTCCTAAATATAGAACCAATTATCCAACCATCCATCCAGAGGCTCTGGTTTATAGATCGGATACATGCTAAATATAGAACCATTTATCCAACATCCATCCAGAGCCTCTGGTTTATAGACTGGATACATCCTAAATATAGAACCATTTAACCTCTGTCAGATTATTATTTGTCTGTGTCCCCATTTTTATCTTCTTTGCAAGACCTGTGATTGCCTCTATACCTGTTTTAGAAGTTTAGGAGGAGCGTCCTTTATAGATCAGTGGAAGTGCGGAGCATTCTGTGGTGATGTTTGTTATTCTTTCTCTTCTAACAGATGAAGTGAACTTTCTTCACGGGACATCACTCATCACAGTGCCTCCACTTCACTGCCTGACAACAGAGGGAACCAGTGCCAAAAGATTCTAGAAGTCACCAACAATCAAGTATCTCTAAAAGGACGTCATAATGGAGAATCAGCCGCCTCTAACATCACCGGGTAAGAGGTGACTTTATTGGAAAAGAGAGAGCAGTACGGAGGCTCCACCTAGATCCCCCATCATCTGATAAACACATAGAAACAATGGATTCAGTCAGTGTGTGTGTTTCCTACAGATGGATCCAGTCATGGGAACCCACCAGAGAGATGTCCCCGTCCTCTGTATTCTCGGGATCCCGCACAGGAAGATCCCTCCATCCCTCACCATCATCAGGTAGATGGGACTAAGCATGGAGACCTAGAAATGTATTCCAAACTATGAGATGATATTCTATGTAATCCCTAGTTTAATTTCATAAATATGATTTGTCATCTTTGGCATTTAGGGTGAAGAACTGAAAGACATCAAAGTTGAGGTTAAAGAAGAAGAAGGACATTGGTAAGTAGAGAGCAGCAGTCTATGGAGGAGAGAGGTCCTCTCTATTCCCAGGATTCAACTCAGGAAGATCACAATTATAAAGAGAATGATCAGGTAGATGGGACTGGCAAAAAAACTTAAAAATAGATCTATGAGAGGATGTTCTTCATTGTAATCTCTTGTACCTATTTATAGTACCTATTAATCCTTGGAGTTAAGGATGAAGAACAGAAAGACATCAAAGTTGAAGTTAAAGAGGAAGAAGAAGAGACGTTGGTGAGTGGACATCAGCTATCTATGGAGGAGGGGGAGATGATTATGAAAAGTAAACCGGAGGAATCTTCTCTACATATGGACACAAGTAAGTAATATACACTAAACACAGAAACAGTTCAAATTTTAGTTCTACTTCTCTAAGTATAAAGCATGTTGTTACATTGTTACATGGAGTGAAATATACCATATGTCCATTAAGTTAAAAGAGAATCCAAAGGAGCAGTTGATCCAGAGGAGGGCTGAAAAGTCACAAACACTCTGTAAATAATTCATTGGGGTAAAAGAATTCCTTTCTTTATCCCAAGAGGCAGATAATTGCCCAGATCAACATTCTACAATGATGTTTATTACAAATATTAGAAACACTTCCAGTCAGATAAAGAGAAATTTCTGTGGAAGACCATTCCTCATTTTTACAGATAGTATAGCAAAGAACCTGTCTACATGATATAGGAAATCTCCAGACCTTGCAGGAGGAATGTAACCTATGAATTAATCTCCATTCCTTAATATAACATCATGTTCCCAACAAATGAGGAGGAGATACTGGACACCATATGAAAGGTCCATCTCCGTTCCCCAATAGGACGTTATGTTCCCAACCAATGAGGAGGAGATACTGGACACCATATGAAAGGTCCATCTCCATTCCTCAATATAACGTCATGTTCCCAACAAATGAGGAGGAGATACTGTACACCATATGAAAGGTCAGGGGCAGACTGACCATTTGGAAACTCGGCACTGCCCAAGGGCCCGGGGTCAGTAGGGGGCCCCATGAGATGCCCCTGGTACCTTTTTCATAGGCTTTTTTGTTTGGGCAAGGACACAAGGGCCCCATGTTCCCCTATTACCCGGGCCCCATGAGTTGTCAGTCCGCCCCTGTGATAGGTCCATCTCCAGTCCTCAATATAACGCATGTTCCCAACAAATGAGGAGGAGATACTGGACACCAAATGCCATCTCCATGTCATGTTCCCAACAAATGAGGAGGAGATACTGGACACCATATGGAAGGTCCATCTCTATTCCTAAATATAATGTCATGTTCCCAACAAATGAGGAGGAGATACTGGACACCATATGAAAGGTTCATCTCCATTCCTCAATATAACGTCATGTTCCCAACAAATGAGAAGATACTGGACACCAGGTAAAGGGTCCACCTACATGTCAGAAGTAGCACCTGAGGCCCCATATAACTTGTCTTTACCACCACTGCTGTACATTTTATGAACTCTGTATCTCTGTTCATTAGTCCCATTCTTCACCATAATATATATTAAATATTGCTTTCCAGCAGGTGGACAGTGTTCTCGGAATATAAATACATCGGAGGGACATCTTATTATATATCCAGATTGTAAGGCAAAAGATACTGACATTCCACAATATTCTCCAAAACTGATTTCCTATTGGAAGGTTCAATCAATGGATCCGCCTAATCCTGAGGAATCTTCTGATAGATCCCATACTATGACTTCAGATGTCCATCCAAGATCCATGGATCCTTCTAATCCTGAGGAATCTTCTAATAGATCCCATACTATGACTTCAGATGTCCATCCAAGATCAATGGACCCTTCTAATCCTGAGGAATCTTCTGATAGATTCCATACTATGATTCCAGATGTCCATCCAAGATCAATGGATCCTTCTAATCTTGAGGAATCTTCTGATAGATCCCATACTATGACTTCAGATGTCCATCTAAGATCAATGGATCTTTCTAATCCTGAGGAATCTTCTGATATATCCCATACTATGACTCCAGATGTCTATCCAAGATCAATGGACCCTTCTAATCCTGAGGAATCTTCTGATAGATCCCATACTATGATTCCAGATGTCCATCCAAGATCCATGGATCCTTCTAATCCTGAGGAATCTTCTGATAGATCCCATACTATGACTTCAGATGTCCATCCAAGATCAATGGATCCTTCTAATCCTGAGGAATCTTCTGATAGATCCCATACTATGACTTCAGATGTCCATCCAAGATCAATGGACCCTTCTAATCCTGAGGAATCTTCTGATAGATCCCATACTATGACTCCAGATGTCCATCCAAGATCAATGGATCCTCCTAATCCTGAGGAATCTTCTGATCGATCCCATACTATGACTTCAGATGTCCATACAATTTCTCACAGTGCTGGCAGATCAACAGATCCATCGAAGCACCAGAAATCTTCTTTAAGCCATAAGGGGGATTACACAGGAAAGCGTTCATTGTCATGTTCAGAGTGCGGAAAATGTTTCCTTAAAAAAGGAAACCTTACTGAACACCTGCGAGTTCACATGGATGAGCGTCCTTTTCCTTGTTCAGAGTGTGGGAAATGTTTCCTTAAAAAAGGAAACCTTACTGAACACCAGAAAATTCACATGGGTAAGCGTCCATTCCCTTGTTCAGAGTGTGGGAAATGCTTCACCACAAAAGGATCACTTTTTAAACACCAGAGGCTTCACACGGGTGAGTGTCTTTATTCATGTTCAGAGTGCGGGAAATCTTTCACTCAGAAAGGAAACCTTACTGAACACCAGAGAATTCACACCGGTGTTCGCCCTTATTCATGTTCAGAGTGTGGGAAATCTTTCACTACAAAAGGATCACTTTTTAAACACCAGAAAATTCATACAGGTGAGCATCCTTATTCATGTTCAGAGTGCGAGAAATCTTTCACTCGGAAAGAACACCTTGTTAGACACCAGAGAGTTCACACGGGTGAGCATATTTATTCATGTTCAGAGTGTGGAAAATGTTTCAATGAGAAAGGGCAACTTGTTATACACCAGAGAACTCACACAGGTGAATGTCCATTTTCATGTCCAGACTGCGAGAAAAGTTTCATTAAGCAATCAGCCCTGGTTTCCCATCAAAGAATTCACACGAGTGACCGTCCCTATGCATGTTCAGAGTGCGGGAAATCTTTCAGTGTAAAGAATGACCTTTGTAGACATCAGAAAATTCACACTGGTGAACATCCTCATTTATGTTCAGAGTGTGGAAAATATTTCAATCGCAAAAAAGAACTTACTGAGCACCAGAGAATTCACACCGGTGAGCGGACTTTCCCTTGTTCAGAGTGCGGGAAACGTTTCCTTAAAAAAGTACACCTTACTGAACACCAGAGAATTCACACAGGCGAGCGTCCTTTCTCTTGTTCAGAGTGCAGGAAATCTTTCACTACAAAAGGATCCCTTTTCAAACACCAGAGAGTTCACACAGGTGAGTGTCCTTATTCTTGTTCAGAGTGCAGAAAATCTTTCTCTCACAAAAAAGACCTTGATGAACACAAGAGAATTCACACAGGTGAGCGTCCTTATTCGTGTTCAGAGTGCGGGAAATCTTTCATCACAAAAGGATCACTTTTAAAACACCAGAGGCTTCACACAGGTGAGCGTCCTTATTCGTGTTCAGAGTGCGGGAAATCGTTCACTCGGAAAGGACACCTTGTTACACACCAGAGAGTTTACAAGGGTAAGCAACTTTAGTCATGTTCGGAGTGCGGGAAATGTTTCAGTGAGAAAGGACCACTTATTGTACACCACAGAATTCACACAGGTAAGCGCCAGTTTTCATGTCCAGACTGCGAGAAATGTTTAATTCAGAAGTGAGTCCTGGTTTCCCATCAAAGAATCCACACGGGCGAGCATCCTTATTCACTTTCAGAGTGCGGGAAATCTTTCAATCAGAAAGGAGACCTTGATAACCAGAAGAGATTTCACACGGGTGAGCGTCCTTATTCATGTTCAGAGTGCGGGAAATCTTTCACTCAGAAAGGAGACCTTGATAACCAGAAGAGATTTCACACGGGTGAGCGTCCTTTTTCATGTTCAGAGTGCGGGAAATTATTTACTCGGAAAGACCACCTTGTCAGTCACCAGAGTGTTCACACAGGTGGGCATCTTTGTTCATGATCAGAGTGCGGGGAAATCTTTCAATGAAAAGAATGACCTTCGTAAACGTCAGAGAATTCACTCTAGTGATCGCCCTTTTTTATCTTCAGAGTGCGAGAAATGTTTCAATCACACAAAAAAAAAATGTAATGTACACCAGAAACTTCACACCAGTGAACACCCTTTCCCTTCAGTGTCTGTCTCCACACATGATGGGAGAACCATTCCTCTTTTTCCATTGTGCATACAGAACCCCTGGGCATCCCCATGTGGGGGAACCTGACCCTGACTCTGGCCCTGACCCTGACCCTGGCAAGGGCTTACACTTCAGTACACCCGTGTAAACTAAGCCATTTATGTAAACAAGGACTATGTGTATTACTTTGTGACTCAGTTTTCAGTCTGTCGTTTGTTTTTTCTCCCCATAATTATAAAATATTAAAATGTTGTCAAACTGTTGTTTGTTTGTTTTTTAATTTTTTCTTAATTTACATTTTTTTCTTTATTCTTTAGCTAAAAATATAATTCAGGGTTCGAAAAAATCCCAGGCACCTGGTTGCCACATCGACTAGAAATTGTGTCCTGGCGCCTGGGTTCACGCACTGCCTCCCACTGACTTCACTGCAAAATCGTGTTTCCCACTGACTTCAATGCAAAATCACATCCCATTGGCTTCCATGCAAAATCACATCCCATTGGCTTCCATGCAAAATCACATCCCATTGGCTTTTATGCAAAAACGCCTCCCATTACCTTCAGTGCAAAAACGGCTCCCTTTGACCTCAGTGCAAGAACACCTTCCATTGAGTTCAATACAAAATGGCATCCCATTGGCTTCTATGCAAATACGCCTCCCATTGAGTTCAATGCAAAAAAGCCTCCTATTTACCTCAGTGCAAAAACTCCTCCCATTGACTTCAATGCAAAATCACATCCCATTGGCTTCGATGCAAAAATGCTTCCCATTACCTTCAGTGCAAAAACACCCTCCCATTGACTTCAATGCAAAATCAGATCCCCTTGACTTCAATGCAAAATAACATCCCATTGGCTTCAATGGAAAAACGCCTCCCATTACCTTCAGTGCAAAACGACTCCCTTTGACTTCAGTGTAAAAACACTTACCATTGAGTTCAATGGAAAAACACCGCTCACTGACTTCAAAGCAAAAATGCCTCCCATTGAGTTCCACCTGAGACCCTCCACATGATCATAGAGATGTGAGTCCCACCATGGTGTCCCTCCTGCTACCCTCCACATGATCATAGAGATGTGAGTCCCACCATGGTGTCCTTCCTGCTACCCTCCACATGATCATAGAGATGTAAGTCCCACCCTGGTGTCTCACCTGCGACCCTCCACATGATCATAGAGATGTGAGTCCCACCATGGTGTCCCACCTGCTACCCTCCACATGATCATAGAGATGTGAGTCCCACCAGCTACCCTCCACATGATCATAGAGATGTGAGTCCCACCATGGTGTCCCTCCTGCGACACTCCACATGATCATAGAGATGTGAGTCCCACCATGGTGTCCCACCTGCTACCCTCCACATGATCACAGAGAAGCGATTCCCACCATGGTGTCCCACCTGCGACCCTCCACATGATCACAGAGATGCGAGTCCCACCATGGTGTCCCACCTGCTACCCTCCACATGATCACAGAGATGCGAGTCCCACCATGGTGTCCCACCTGCGACCCTCCACATGATCACAGAGATGCGAGTCCCACCATGGTGTCCCACCTGCTACCCTCCACATGATCATAGAGATGTGAGTCCCACCATGGTGTCCCTCCTGCGACCCTCCACATGATCACAGAGATGCGAGTCCCACCATGGTGTCCCACCTGCTACCCTCTACATGATCATAGAGATGCGAGTCCCACCTGCGACCCTCCACATGATCATAGAGATGCGAGTACTTATAATGGTCGTTCACCCACACAGGATCATAGCAAAAACAAATAGAGATCCTCCATAGTGTAAATCAGTAATTTATTGCTCCAATAAACCCAGAAAAAATTCCACTCACATGTCAAACAGCATTATCCAGCCTTTACCCATACTATGGGTGCATATGCATGTTCCAAGATGGCCCCAACGCCGGAACTGACGTCACGGAGCACCGGAATCACCACGTGACTTCTTCAGGGTATCTGAAGAAGTCACGCGGTGATCGTGACGCAACGCGTCGGTACGCGGTGACAGGACTTCCAGTGCGCGGTGACGTCAGTTCCAGGCATGAGGGCCATCTTGGAACACCCGAAACCATGCATATGCACCCATAGTATGGGTAAGGGCTGGATAATGCTGTTTGACATGTGAGTGGAATTTTTTCTGGGTTTATTGGAGCAATAAATTACTGATTTACACTATGGAGAATCTCTATTTGTTTTTGCTATGATCCTGTGTGGGTGAACGACCATTATACCAGGGTATTATAAGTACCAGGGTATTGGAGACTCCGTGTCTTACCCTAAAGCGAGCTGGCCCTTGTGGTCACTTGCATGGAGGCTGTGGGGGCATTGTGGCTGTTCTTGGATTTCACGAGTTGTTTGCATGGATTCAACGTTTTATTTACAGCGGAGTTATTGGTGTGGAGCATATTCAACATGTGTTGTGCAGCGTGTGGACCTTTTATTTAGTTACAGTCATGGCAAAATTGTTGGCACCATCATTTCTCCAGGGGATTATTAGTCTCTGGGATATCCAGGAGGGTCCATCTGATGGTGATGAGGCTATTCCTGGGAAAGCGTGTCTTACCCTAAAGCGAGCTGGCCCTTGTGGTAACTGCAAGGAGGTGAGGGGGCACTTTGGCTGTTCTTGGATTCACGAGTTGTTTGGCACTGGATTCACGTTTATTTACACGCGAGTTATTGGTGTGGAGCACTATTCAACATTGTTTGTGCAGCGTGTGGACTTTTATTTAGTAGACATTTATATATATATATATATATATTTTTCACTGAGTGTGTTTTGTGTACACATGCACCTTTATCCTTTACGGATTATATTGTTAACTTAGTTTGATCCCCTAAGTTGGGGGGGGGAATCTTTCTATATATATTTATCGTTGTGTGTGCACCATTTCACTTTATATTGACACATATACTGTATGTTAACATGGTATTATGTATTTATCCAATTATTTATATATTTGAGTTTGATTTTGGATGCTCATGTAGTATTTATTTAGCGCTACACTATTTTTATTTATGACCAGCGCTTACTTCTCATTGGAGGCCTCCAGTTCTGCCTAATGCTTCATGGTTGCACTTCCGAGGTCTCATTCACTTGCCAGGTCTTTCTTTTTAGTGCTTTCTTTGCCCACTTTTAACAGTTTCACAAACACAAAGGGTTCTAGCGTAGGCACACTTGTGCTCTTTGCTGGCAAAATGTGGCCCCATGTGTCACAGATCCATAGTCGCCGCCACCAACATGCGACAATCGCACGACCACGACTAACAGTAATACGTCACGCCCACGGCGTCAGACCTCAGACCTTCTCACCAAACTCGTGACCGAAGGACCGGCCGATCTAAAACCGCGATGTGACGCGCGTAACAAGGCCCCACCCAGCTGCACCCTGCACAGCGATTGTCCAGCTAATGGGCTACAATCGGTGCCTGCAGCCTGAATGCGCTTGTTACTGGGTCAGGTTAATTACGCCACTAACCCTTCACTCACTGCCACCACCGTCTTGAAATGTACAGAGAAGACGGACTCTGTCAGAAATACACTATATTGATTGAAAAGTCACCTGTCCAATATGGTCAATTGGGCAGGGAGTAAACAAACACAGTAGCGTCTCTTCAAAAGGCAGGAATTCGTGAATTGCAGGTAAGCGCTTAAAAACAGTTTAACACGTTCAGAAAGAAAGATTTATTACTAAAAGAGTCAAACAGGTGCAATAAAATATTTACAAAGAGATGTCACAAAAATAATATATATATATATGTATATAAAGACACAGCAATGAGATAATTAGGAAGGAAATTACAGGGTTAAGTTACTTGCCCTTAGCCTGGGTTTGCAGATCCAAGTTGCAGAGCGGGACGATTCTTTATCTCCTCCTTCGATGTTAGCTGGAAGATCTGTGTAAAACTTAAACTTCCAGGCTTGCAGCCTGTCCCTTTTTTAAAAGTCCCTCTGAAAGGGGGGGGGGTTGCTCTCGCTAGCCTGTGTTGGGATAGGTCAGGAGAACTCTGAGTTAGAACCCACATCTGTCATAATCCATGACATGAAACATCGGGGAAAAGCCTGACTTGAGGAATGTTCAATTAACTTCAAGTCCTGCATTATCTGTTTTATGTTGGGTGAAAAAGGTTACACTTACACAGACAGCTGGCACCAGACTAGGGATGTTTAACCTGGGCTGACCCACACCATCTGTCAGGAGATAACGTTTGCCTCTCAGGACTGCAGGGGGGTAGGGAATGAGGCTGAGGAATGAGAAATATCTTGAATAAAAAGAAAAAAAAAGGAAAAAGGAGAACTTCGCTCCAACGCTGATGAGCAAGTTTGCTACACCATGATTGAAGGCGCCATTCCTCCCAAGTCTTTACAAAGCCTCCAAGCTCCAGGACC